TGAACGCATACATCAGCTTCAACGAGACAGACATCTTTGAGCAACAGACCACTGTTTGGCTGCGTGAAATAAACCATCGATACATATTTCACCCATCCATGCTCCGAGCTTGATCGACTAAACCATTTAGTAACTGTAAACCAGACAAGTTACAGATCAAGAGGTGAATAGATTCACATTCAGTTAACAAGTATGTGAATGAGTTCAATAAATGAGTTTGCGGTGGTGTATACCTTTGCCGGCAATGTGTCTGCCTTGTAACTGATCAAATATTCGAATTGTAAACTCTACAAATATCTTTGTACCATCTGAAATGGTTTCAGGATCTACAAGGGTCAGATAGATAGAAAGATGGGTTCCTGTTCCTTGCTTCGTTCCCGTTGGATAAAACCTTACCTTCCTGCATTAGTAGTACCATCTATTAGCTTAATGCTATGGTTGTTTTCGGATTGTTGCCAACTATGTTGTTATTACCATTTTCTATCTCCGGCGAAGAAAGCATTTGAGTCATAGCTTTCTTTGTCTAACTTGGAGAAATTCTCAATTTTCCAGACGTGCTTAGAGCTAGTAGCATCTTTAATCATAGATAAACATTCTCCTCTCCCACTTCTTCTCTCCTTAGAAACAAATACATCAGCTCCAAACATACATGTGTCTTCCATAAGGTAACCGTTTGACGCATCAGAGAAGGTACCGGTTGGGATGAATTTATCAAATCCCCATTCACGCTTCACCGCATGAAACCGTCTCTCGTTTCCTACAACACAAAATGCATATTAAGGGTGCGACGAGTGAGGATGAGAGAGTCATAGTCTTTGAAGAAGTGAAAATATACCTTGTAGAATCAAATAATTATCTTTGTTTTGATCCAGTAAGTACAGACGGAAAACTGCATGAACCTCCCACCCTGGACTTAGTGAACTAGAGTCCGCAAGAGCCAAGTAGACAGAAACATGGTCTTTCGTATTCTTGCTCTTGTTTCCATTTGGGTACAGAACCAGTTTCCTGCAAGCAAAACCACATATTATGTTAGACATTTTAAAACTAATGCACAATAATTGACTAAATTCACGGTATTTGATTGGACAGAGGAAAATTGAAACAAAGATGGGTCCAGATTTCACATGAGAAACGATCCACTATGAGTTGGAAAAGTTGAAAACCATGACCAGAGAGACTTTATACTAGTCCACTACTTAGAGAGAAAAAGAGGAGGTAAAAGTTACTTTTGAGTAAAGGAAAGTTTTCCAAAACATAACTACTGACCACACCCTAAAGCAATGAAGAATAGGATCCCATCAACGAAAAGCACTGAAAAAGTTGAGGCACGTTCCAACAATAAGCAGGGTTTAAGATACTAGCACGTGTTATGATGATTAATCTTCAATCAGAAAAGGTTTTGGCTAATAATTTAAGAAAGAAGAAGAAAAAAGTTGTGTAATAATGATGCTATACCATTTGTAGCCTCCAGCTTCAAAGCTCTCAGTTTCATATCTCTCTATAGCATGCTTTGTAAGGAGTGAGAAAGACTCCATCTTGACCATGTAATGTGTTGGTGGGGCATCAGATATAGACTTTATAATTTCTGCAATCACTTTTCACAAAAGTTACCTTTGTGCAAATTCATCTGTACATTTTACCTTTAAGTGAAAGGGGAAATGAATCTAATTACGCTATTCATAACAAAACAGGGCAACAACATTATCCAACGGATGAAATATCAAATCTCACACTTCATTTCCTACGATGGATATCATTCAATGGTCTATCTAGAGGATCATATGCACATATACATACATCATTCATCACTGGTAAGTCCGTGTGTTTAATAAGACATGTAAGAGAAAAATATATAGAGAGAGATGATGATACCATCATGATCACCGGAACTGGCCATGAGAAGATATGCAGAAACCAGATAGAAAACTAGTGAATATGCAGATAAGAATCATTATATTAACTTTCTATTTATAGGTGAAAGAAATAGATTGCATCTTATGTGTTTAGGATCAAACCTTTATACTTTGCTTGAAAGGATCATACCTTTCCATGCATTTTTAGACTTATGCCCTGTGAGGTTGCAGAATCAAAAAGCAAGAATAAACATCAACTTAGCAAGCAAAAAGCAAGAATAAGATTCAAATGTGCATCTTCTAGTATGTATATCAATGGAGAAAAACAATCCCAAGAGTGTTAAACAAGCCAAATGATTTGAAAGTCACTCACTATTTTTATTTCTGGTCTAGATAAAGTGTCTTCCATCAAAAACCACACAGAACACAATGGATCTTAACCCAGTCCGAGCAGCTTCCTGATCAACAATTTATCTGCTTGTTTTTTCATCTTCTGTGCGAGAAAACATATTTTGGCAGTGTTCCGGCTTATCCGGTTATTTCGGAATTATACGGTTTTAATTTAAATGACAGTTATAATCAAACCGGTAAACCGGTCGGAAATTGACAAGCTTCAAGAGAGTTAAGTTGGTTTCTTTAGGGTTTAGGGTTTAGAGCAATCTACCGACTTATTATAACTCTTCAAACAGTCAACAGAGAGACTGAAGAAGGAATCCAAATAGTTGAGCCAATGCAATTATAAATGATGAGATCGACTACCAAGAGATTTTGTTCATCCGAATCTCCAGAGGAAAGGTAATCATAATCCTCTGTCGTTTGTTTAATCTTTTCGAAATCTGTTGCTGGAGGAGACTGAGACTGTGATGATTACGGTGAGAAACTCAGAAATAGTCTTCAGAATTCATTAAAGTTAGACGAAGTCGATGCAGCAGTTGATGATTTGTTCAGTCCTTTCTCTTCCATTTTTGATTATTTCAGTAGATTGTCCGCCAAGTTTGATGTAACATAGTATCTATACTTGCAACATTCTAATGTGCAGATGCTCTCTTGCTTTATCTTTTCTTGGAAAGATTGTTAAGCTTGGGTATTATCATGAGCCTCTTAGCTCGTTGCTCCATCACACGAATGCAAAACCGGATTCGGAAATCTACAACTCTGTCATTGTTGCTCTTTGCAAAAGCAGATATGTGAATGATGCCCTCCAAGTATTCTACCAAATGGAGAACAAAGGGATTAGACCTAGTCTTGTTACATACAACTCTTTGATTAGAGTTCTTTGTAAGTCGGGCAGATGGAGTGAAGCAACTGGTTTACTTTGCGATATGATCACCAAGAAAATCGAACCTAATCTCATCACTTTCAATGGATTGATCCATGCATCTGTGAAAAAAGGCAATGTTTTAGAGGCTAAAGAATTTTACGAGGAGATGATCCATAGGTCTATCGATCCTGATATCCGCATTTATAATTCACTAATCAATGGACTTTGTATGCAGAGTCCCGTGATGAGGTCAAAGAAACGCTTGACTTCATGGTAACAAAGGGTTGTCTCCCAAATGTGGTGACCTATAATACTCTCATAAAAGGATTTTGCAAGTCTAACAATGTACATGATGGGACTCAACTCTTGTGCGAGATGGCTCGTGAAGGAATATATGGCGACACATTCACTTACAACACTCTTATCCATGGTTTTTGTCAAGCTGGGAAATTTAATGTCGTTCAAAAGGTTATGAGACACATGTCTGAGTCTTGCGTGGCTCGTGATATCATTACCTTCAACATTTTGTTAGATTTTCTATGTGATACTGGCGAGATAGAGAAAGCAATGGCGATATTCAGGGGAGATATGGAAAATAATGAAATGGTGTTTGATATAATCACATATAATTCAATGATCAATGGCTTTTGCAAACATAATCGTCTAGATGATGCAAAACACGTTTTTGATTTGATGGCTACCAAGGACTGCTCTCCGAACGTAGTCACTTTCAATACTCTCATAGACGGTTGCTGTAGGAATAAGAGAGTAGAGGAAGGAGTGGAACTTCTCCGTGAGATGTCAAGAAGAGGATTAGCTGCTGATACAGTTTCTTACAACACTCTTATTCACGGGTTCTGTCGAACGGGAGATCTTACTGCCGCACATGACCTTTTCAGTGAGATGACTTCTCATGGTGTGTGTCCTGATATCGTAACTCGTGGCATTTTACTACGCGGTCTCTGCGATAATGGGAAGCTAGAAAAGGCTTTGAAAATGTTTAAGGTCATGCGGGAGAGTAATATGAATCTTGATACTGCTGTTTATAACATCATCATCCATGGAATGTGCAAGGCTGGTAAGTTGGACGAAGCATGGAATCTATTCACTAATCTCCTCATCAGTGGTTTGCAACCTGATGTTAAAACTTACAATATGATGATTATATTCAGTGCGTTAGGGAGGGCTGAAAAATTATACGCAGAGATGATCCGTAGAGGTATAGTCCCCGATACTATAACTCAATGATCCATGGACTCTGCAAGCAGAACAAACTAGCTGACGCGAGAAAGGTGTTTGATTCCATGGATAACAAGAGCTGCTCAACTTTTAATACACTCATTAATGGTTACTGTAAAGCAAGAAGGGTTGATGATGGGATGGATCTTTTCTGCGAGATGTATCGAAGAGGAATAGTTGCTAATGTAATTACTTACACTACTTTGATTCATGGGTTTCGTCAAGTTGGTGATTTTAAAATCGCTTTAGACATTTTCCAGGAGATGGTTTCTAATGGTGTGCGTTCTAGTTCGATAACTTTTCGCGATATTCTTCCCGAGTTATGTAGTAAGAAGGAACTAAGAAAGGCAGTGGCAATGCTGGTGGATTTGCAGAAGAGTGTTGTGGTATGTCCTCAAAGAATGTAGTCCTCTGATTGGTTTTGGTGTGTTTATTCTCTGCTGTTCTTTTTCTTGAAAGCAACAAAAAAATGTGGTTTATCTTCCGGTTATTTCGATTTTATACGGGTTTAATAAAACCGGAAAGCCGGTCGGCAATTAACAAGTAATTCTCGCACGCCACGTGGAGGGTCTGGACCACCGTGGTCGCTCGTGTAGCTGATTTGCTTCTCTTCTCTTCTATCTTTTTTCGCCTTCTTCGTTTTGATCAGAGTGTGTGTGATTGATTACGACGGAGAAGACGAAGGCTTAATGGCTACAGAGACATCGACGCAATCTTACAGTGAGAAATGGTATTGGGACGAGCGTTACACGAACGAATCTGAACCGTTTGATTGGTACCAGAAGTATTCATCTTTAGCTCCTCTCATTAATCTCTATGTTCCTCACCGTAATCAACGAGTCCTCGTCATTGGCTGTGGAAACTCAGGTACCTAGAAGAAAAGAAAACTCTTTTGATTCCATGGTTTTGTATTGTTCTGGATCCATTTTGATATTAGTTGTTTCGAATTTTTTTTAATGCAGCGTTTAGCGAAGGAATGGTGGATGATGGATATGACGATGTAGTCAATATTGATATATCATCAGTGGTGATTGATACCATGATTAAGAAATACTCTGATCGTCCTCAGCTCAAATGTACGTTTTTTTTTGTTTTGTACATTTGTTGATTTCTTCTCTTTAGTGTTGCAATTTTTGGGGAGGAACATAGGAGATAGAATTGTTTTTCTATGTATCTGTGTCTGCCTTTACTTGGTTACTTACTAGATTTAGCATGAGCTTGTGTATTTTTGGATAATGTTAAAAAAACAGATTTGAAGATGGATGTGCGTGATATGAAGGCATTTGAAGATGCTTCTTTTGATGCTGTTATCGATAAAGGTGTTCTTACTACATGTTTTAATATCATTATTAGTCTAAATGCATTGTGTTTCATGTATATAACATTTTGGATTTTTCTTTTTTTTTTTTGTGTGTGTGTGTGTGTGTGTTTTTTCAGGAACCTTAGACTCTATTTTGGTGAGTGAGGTCTACTTTCTCTTTACTTATGTTATCTCTAGGCTGATTTCTCAAAAGTCTTATCCTTTTTGCATGTTTAGTGTGGGAGCAATTCCAGGCAATACTCAACACAAATGCTTGAAGAGGTTTGGAGGTACTTCTATTACATGGCCTCAAATGTTGAATGGTTTCTGTTTATTTATTGTGGCTTCTTCTTTTCTTATTTCTTTCTTGATCCTTTCACCTATAATGAAAGCAGTTGATGAAACCTATAGGGTCCTCAAGGATAAAGGAGTCTATATCCTGGTAAAAATTTCTTATCGGTTTTATTCTTATGTGTCTCTGTTTGTTGAATGCAAATTGATATTTAGTTGGTTCTCTGCAGATTACATATGGAGCTCCAATTTACCGTCTTCGCCTGTTGAAAGAATCATGCTCTTGGACAACGAAACTCCATGTTATAGGTCAGCTTGAACTCAGAAACCATTGTTTAGTTTGTATCTTATACTATTTGTAGATAGAAGTTCATTGTTCTCTGCTAAACTAAGACTAGCTGTCTTTTTTTTTTGCAGACAAAAGTTTAACCGATCAACCGTTAGAAACCCCAAAATGGGAACTGACAAAACCACTTCCTCTAAATGCTGATGGAAGTTCAGTGGAATCTGCGATAGGCAAAAGCCCTGATGTCCATTACATCTACGTCTGCATTAAGGTGTGTGGTTTGATTCTCCTTCATGCATTGCTTTCTATAGCTTTTTAGCTAAGATGATGTATTTTCTGTTTCTGGATAACCATTTGCATCTGGCATATTTCATATGATTAATCCCCACTCTTCCACATTGATCATGCAAGATCTCATCTTCAAACCCGGTCTGAACTTCACCTGTGTCTTTGTTCTTATGAAAATTGTCTCAGGATGAGTCGTTGAAGATGGAGGCAGACGCAGCATGACCTCATGGGAACCTTTTTTTGTGCCATTTGCTCCGAACATACAAGTCCTTTAAGGTCTTATTTTTGTGTGTTTTGTTGTATTTATCTACAAAAGGAAGACGAGTAATATCTTGAGTTCATGTTTACTCCCTAATTAGAGGAGGAACAAAAGTTTTAACCATAAAATTATTAGCAATGGGAAAATGTTGATTTTATTTACACCGATTACAACAACAGACCAATAACATTATCTTGTTGAGATTGCTGGACTATCTTAATAGGTTTGACTCATGTGCGATATATATATACTCTCTAGAACAAACAAAGTAGAAGAGAAAAAATAGTGGGTGATTGGTTGGGCTATAACTTAAGTACAGCATGATTGGTAACATTTTAAGGCTGTAATTAAAATTGAGGCTGTAGATAGCTCATACAGCCCATTAAATCATAGCCTATATTTTGTTCTTCTAACCACTAAGGTATCAAGATTTTAACTATAGTTAAATATCATCATTTATAAAATGAAAATTTATAACTTAAGAAATACGAATAAATATCTTTATATAAATGATAACAAATTAAATTTACATATATGTCACAAAGTTTTTATCAAATACAGCTGGATGCTTTATAATTTAGTCACTTTGTATTATATTAATTTAGTAAACTTTTATACGTGTTCAATAGTGCAACACTAGATTGTTTATAAAAGCATTTGAATTTATTTATAAGATCTCATATCATAGAAAGAAACTGTTTAGATATAATATGTATAGTTAAATATCTTCATTGTTAAATTCAAATTAACAAGTTAAGAAATACATCTATTGGTTGCCAAGATAATGAAATTCGTTACATTTTAAGGGAATTGGATATAAAAATTGGATTGATCTTAAAATAAAATAAAAAAACTTATTGACTAGCTAGAGTTGGATACTTTGAATTATATAATCACTTTGTATTATACTTCTTTGAGATCATGTAAAAAAACTAACATGTGTCCAACTATTAGTAACATATTTAAAATCAGCTAACTTAAGAATCATCCCCTATATATTAATAGAGAAACATTTTTTTAAAAAAACCTTACCATCATGTGTTATTAACAAGATTGCCACGCTGATGTGTCGCTCTCACAATGATTTGGCTTCTATTTAGATAATTACCCAAGATTTATTAGACTATTTACAGAATTTGCCATTAGTCTCATACATCCATATATCTCATTGATTATTTAAAACATACACTTTTTGTTTATCTTATATTACTATATTTTTATATTTATATTTTTCTTTATATACATTTATATAAATTTTCTTTAGCGGATGGGTAAACAATCTTTTAATTTATATTTATATTTATGTTTATATTTAAATGATAAAATATATATACATTTGGTTCAAGAATCTCAAATTCAAAACTACAAAATCTTTACATCTTTCATAAATTTTTTACTTAAATAAATAAGATAATCTCCTTTCTATATATGTTACGAATACTTAAAATCCTATTTTTTGGAGGAGTTCTAACTTTTCGAAGAAAAACATTATAACCACATTTGTATATAAACCAAAATTTGGCCACATTATAACCATTTCGTAAATAATACATTCATAATCTAAGAATCTTAGATTTAGAACAATACAAAATCTTAGCTTTGAAACTATCAAATCTCATCTTTGCTAAATTTTGGATTTCTTATACTTATTAAAAAAAAAAAATTTCCTTTTTATACTACAAAATCTCGAAATCTTTAAAACATACGGAAAGACATATTACCATAAATGGTAACATTTCGTCAATACTTTTTTATCACGTTGAAGCTTTATTCAAAGTTCAAATATTTCACGGGTAAAACATATTCTTATATGAAATAGTCCCAAATTTGAATAAAACAAAAAAAAATTGTAATATGTTTCGTTTTACACAAACGGATCTTGGATCCCGGATAATAATTTTAATCATAATAATTTTACTTGAATCACTTCATCCCGCACATCGTGCGGGTTGTTATCTAGTTAAGGCATAAATATGAAATCAATGAAATTTGTATTAAGATATAAGTTGCAAATGAGACATGCCATAAGGTTAAGAAGAAGATTACATATGACTGAAAATTTTCAATCAATTTCATCAACATTCTGTTTTATATGGAGTTTTATATGTAATCTTTTTATGCCATTTGCTCCGATCATATCTTGGATTCATGTTTACTCCGTTATTAGATGAGGAACAAAACCATTATTTTATTAGCAATAAGAAATGTTCGGAGAATATAAACATACAAATACAACAACAGGCCAATTGCAGCAACATGTTATATCCATTCTTATACACAACAATTCCAATTTAACACACACACAAAAAGTTAACCAAAAACATGCCAAGAACGTATTTCCATCAAGCTACTGGAAAGTGGGACTTGTTTGTGGACGATCAAGCCATATAAAACACTCTGCCTTGTTCAGATTGCTTGACTAGCTTCATAGGTTTGACTCGTGCGATATATACTCTCAAGAACAAGCCCAGGAGAAGAGAAGCTTTTAAAAAAACTCTACCGATATCTTGTACCAGAGCTCTGTCCTTGAGTTCTTGTAGATGGATGGTTATTGCTTGTTTTACGATACTTTGCCAATTCGTTATTAGCATGGGATAGAAGCTTCTGAGCGTTTTCCAGTCTCTTGGTATAATCAGTATCAGCAAGTTTAAATGACACTGTATCCTGTTCGATAAAACGAAATTCAGGATCTTAGAATCAACCATTGAGTTCTTCTCCATCATGCAAAGGCAGCCCGTTATACTATACATACCTTTGTTGTCTGTGAAGCACGATGGTTACTGGCCCGTGCATCGTGGACTGTTCGATCAAGTTCAGCTAACTTCCTCAGCAAATTGCTCTTGTCATTCTGCAAAACGGAAGATAGAAAGAATCAGTGAGTTAAGGAAAACACAGATAAAGAAAACTGGTGGTGAGAATATAGGTAGAAGAAACTCCTGATTACCTTAAGCATTTCGTTTTGCATAGAAAGCAACTGAACTCGCTCTTGTAGTTGGTCCAAAGATATCTGTGTCGCAAGAACATCTGTATCTTTCTTGTTCAACTCTGACATGCAACTGTCCCCCAAAAGGCAGAAAAATCCCAAGGAAAAATAAGCATTTTGGCTCGTGACAGAAGAGTTCTAGTATAAGTAGAATAGGCCTAACCTCTGTCTATCCTTAACAAGATGATCAATATGTCCCTTCAGACTGATGATTTCTTGCTCCTAATTTTGAAAGAGAAAGTTGATATCAATAACAAACTGAAGACAAGGCAAAGTAAGTAGATGCGGGTAAGTATATAGCATCACCTTGGACAGGATCTCTTCAGCGTGTTGCTGAGCCTCTTCAACCAATCTTTGGACCTGGTGCTGGTCAATCAACTCCTGAAATAGCCCAACGAAGAACCCAATACTATCAGAAGAAGTGCCTATGAAGTCTTTTGAAGATGGCATATATTCTGATATACTTACAACATAGCTGGTTATATCCATTTTCACACCAAGTAAATCCCGAATAACATCATGAGTCATGCTATCAGCTGCAGCTATCCTCGTGTTCAATGTGCAAACCTGTTCCAGCAAGAAAATATTCACTATGAGTCACTCTAAATCGAATCAAGGTGAATAGAAAATAATCTGCTGACAGAACATTTCATTAAAATATCTGTGAGCAATCCAGACGAAAAAGAACAATCTAATGAAGGTAGGCTGAACCTCTCTCTGTTTCACAGCTAGCAATGACTCCAATTCTTCAACACGAACCCTTGCCATGGTCAATTCCTGATCCTTCTCCAGTTTCATCTGTTGTACCAACCCAACTATACATCTAAAGGGTGAACTTGAACCTCTGCTCCTTATTGAGCTTTTCTCAGGTTTATGTGATATGGTCTCTGCAGCTGACGAACTTGAGTCCTCTAGTTTGAAGTCTCGAATCATGACCTCCAGAGTCTTATACTGTTGAGATTGGAAACAAAGAACTATATGAGCTACAAATTAAGGAAAATAACACTTCCAGTTGCTAATCGAAATATACACCATTGTTATCAAAAATTTTGCCTTCTTTCGATCATCCGATAGAAATCAGAAATAATTACAATTCTTGACTCTATATTTTTCAAATCATGACATGGTGTTTTCAGCAAGAACGCCAACAGACACAAATATGCGCAAAATGTGTAAAAGTCTACAAATCTAATACCTTCTCTTGGTAAGCAGATGCTTGGGCCTCAGAATGCAGTAAAATCTCGGAGATGTACTCTTTTAGCTGTTTAATCTGTAAGTGAGGAAAGACAAAGGTAGAATAAAGAAACAAACAATAAACATTTGTGCAAATATCAGGAAATGTCATGGAGAAACTGAGCCGAGCATTCCAATAATATAACACACCTCTTTGGTTTGTTCTGCTACTTCCTTCTGGAGGACTTGTATTTGACTATGCGCACCTTGCAGCTCTGTCGACCTATTGTAAATTTAGTTTTACAAAACTCAGTCTTCACCGAGAAAGATAAACAAGAGAAACTAATATCTTGAGTAGGATTAGGTGGCAGACCTGGATATGTGACTCTTATATTCCTCTGTGCTTTCATTGGTTGTGACCACACCAGTGAAGGTTTCAAATCTAAACAATCTCTGTCTGAGAGCTTGCAGCTCTGTCTCTAACGAATCTTGGGTGGTACGATGCCTTTTAACTTCCTCATCCATATCATACACCTGGAAGCCAAAATAGCTCACATACCAGTAAGTATAAGTGTTTCATTAGTAAGTATAAGAGTTTCATGCAATACCTATCAGATATAGAGAATGAACACAAAGCAAACTAACCCGTCTTTCTAATATATTTATCGTACGCTCAAGTTCCTCAACAGAAATTTCTAGAATCTTGACCTCCTCTTCCTTTTGTTCAGCATATATTTTACTTGCTTCAGATTCCTACATGAGAACAAGTTTAGATTCTTGTCAACCCTTCAATATTGCTAAGGATCAAATGAATCATCTAGAAACAAAAGTCTCCAAGTTACATACCTGACGAGCCTCTACCGCAATTGCTTCTTTTTCATCAGCTATAGCATAGGCCAACTCAAGCTTATTATTCAACGAACATATTTCGTCAACGAGCTGATCTTTCTCATCGCTGGTCTTTTTCAAATTCTCTTCAATGGACTTGACCGCAGAAAGCAATTGCTTCTCTGCTGTAGTAGTCAAGTGCAGGATTTCTTTTTCCAACCTTTTGACAAGATCCTTTTGTTCGTCCAATCCCTCCTCAGCTGCAACCTTTTCCGTACAGAGATCACTAACAAGAACCCTTAACTCATCATTCTGCTCCGCAAGAATTTGTATCCTCTCTTTAGCCTGCTCTAGATCTGACTGTGACGTGAACAAAGCCGTTTTTAAGTCAATGGAGCAATTTTCAAGATTCTCGTTATGAACAAAAAGATCATGAACTTGACTTGCTTTCAGCTCCAGTTCTAGCTGTACTTTGCATAGTGCGTCAAACAGCTCATCCATTTCATTCTTGAGATCTCTTTTATTTGATGCTGATTCCTGAAGTAGCCTAAAATCAAACAGCAAGCCTTCAAACAAAGCTTGTTTTCTCTCAAGCTCCTTTTTCAGATACAAGTTCTCATCTAATAGGCTTTCATGTGACTGAACAACTTCATCATTTTCTAAACCTGTGACGGTCTCTGCTTTGTTTTGGTTTCCAGTGACTTCATCTTCGGCATTATACCCAATGGCATTAATTTTCACTGACTGTTGGCCTGAAAGGTGGGGAGTGATAACCTGTTTTCTCTGATCCAAAATTTGATCGATCAGTTTCCCAATGTGGCATTGGTATGTTGCATACATGGTGAACTCTCTCTCCATGGCTTCAGATACAATCTGTTCAAGTGATGGTCTTGAGTTGGAAATCAATTGGAGAAGCTCTTTTCCAGCTAAGAGGACATGGGAAAACAAAGCCTCTAATGTTTCTTCTACTCCTCTTTTCATTTCCTGAAAATATTCTTCAAGCAAAGACACTGAATTTTCCATGTCCGCCAAAGTGGAGTGTGTTTGATTTAGCAAGATTTGATTTTCTTCTTCACATGCAGATAGTGTAGACTTGACCTGTTCAAGATCATCCATCAGATATTTTTCCTTGACCATTAGCTCTTCATGGGTTTGAAGCCACATTTCAGTAACATTATTTGATTTCTCATTGGCCTTTACTAATTCACATATTGTGAGATCAGCTTCTTTCATGGTAGCACTGACTTCCTCAAATCGATCGAAGAAACTTCTAACAGGATCCATCCTCTGCATAAGACCCGTATTTACCTCAGAAGAAAGCTGCAGAGATAAAAGTTCAGTGGTTTACTTTGTCATTGACAATGTAACCAATTTCTTTATATATCTTCACAAAATAAAACGACGCTAATAAAAGCTTACCGGATTACTGCACTTGTATTCTGTTTCTGCTCTCCCCATCATAATAGTCATTGGCTTTTCTACTGACTGCCTCCCCTCTGCATAAAACAAAATTTTAAGCTTCTTTCTTTACATATAAAATAAAACTGGTGGTTTAGTCATTCAATATTACTCATTTCAGATCTTAAAGTTAGAATGGTGAATAAGAGAAAACAAACAAAAGTATACCTCCACAGTAAACATAATGTGCAGACCCTTTCTTAGCAATCAAAGCTGCTGATGTAGTCTTGTTATTACATTCTTGAGCGTCAGATTCAGAACTTGAAACTCCTTGACATTTTACGTTGAGTGCACAATCATGTTGCCATCTACAGTTTGAAAAGTCAGAGCTTGATGTTGAAAGCTCATCACCCTTTGGATATGTTGCGTCACTTAGATATCCATCCTTTGACAAACTAATATCAGCATTCCATTCCGCACTTGGAGAAGCAGAGATTGAACTTAATGTACCAAATTCTTTAACTGATTGATCTTGTACTTTTTCCAGCATTTGGTGTTGTTTTCTGGAATCAGCAAGCCATTTTTTCACAGAAAAAGCAGCTTCAGCATGTCGTTCTGTTTTCAGAATAGAATACTGCTTTGCTTTTAAGTCACTCTCAAGCGTGTCTACTTCATTGCTCATCCTGTCTACATCATTATTCAAGTTGAAAGCCTCTTCAGTGGTTGCAGCATTTCCACCCAGTTGAAATTCGTTGAGAGCAATTGTTGCGCCCTTTAAGGAATTCAGCTTCAAATTCATCTCTTCTACTAATATCCGTGCATCTTCCAAGCTTTTCTGTAGAAGTAAAATTGTTTCTTCCTTTTTTATACAATTTTTTGCAGCCTTCTCAACATAGTCACCTATCCACGCATTCACTTGTGGAAATGAACAGATTATACTTTCAATCTGTGTAGAGGCATTTTTGATGGATTTAGACCCATCGACGATGAAATTTGTCAGTTCTAAGGTGGCCTTTTCCCAGTCATGGTTAAGTGCTCCTATTTCTGCCTCTCTAGCAGTAATAGTATCTTTCATCGATTGATTTTCCTCGGTCAAGTTACAGATTCTTCTTTGAAATTCAGACTGGAGAGCAATCACCTCCTCCTGCAACTCAAGAATGGTTCTGGCAGTTTCTGTTTCGACCTGCTCACGGACTACTTCAATGTCTTCTTGTTGAGATAACTGCGACTTATGCTCCTTTTCATATTGACAATTGAGTGTTCTGGCCTCCTCGAGGTCCTTCATTAGTTTCCCTAACTTGTACTGCAGGATCGACCGGTCTATCCCCTGATCAGTCTTCACTAGTGCATCTCTATTATTGACCATGCCACTTAACTCCGTGTCATAACCTTCTATCCTAGGAATGACTTCTCTTTCCATACGGCTTCTGTTGGTTAGCATATTCATGGATCCATCATTCTCCTCTAGTACATCTTGCAGTTCATTTATAAGCCTGACCCTGTTGCCATCAGAATTACCAATGTTGCTGCAGTTTTTACTCTCTGAAATAGCCACCTCCTCTTGGGTTTCACTTATAGTTGGCATTGTTTCTGCCTGTTTCAGTGGAAAGAAAGGGCGTTAAACGAGTTTCCCTATAAAGCAATTTTAGACCATGATTCTGATGATACAAATATTGACTCAACAAACCATTAAACGTGTATGTGCATGATTAACCTGCTCAGCTCCACTGGTGGAAGATGCATCCTGCAAAAGGTACAACAAAGATAAACACCCAGCAAAGAAAAATTTATAACAATAATACCTCTGTCAATCTGAATTCTTACAAAGTTGGATTGTATTTGATCGAAATTCAAGTTTCTTCCAAGTCCTGCTTGTATTTCATCTAGTTCTCTGCATTAAAAAGCAACACCAAAACATAAGAGACAGTACCAAAGCTGGCTTCTTTTCCAATTTAGTCAAATTAAGCATATTAGGTTCAATGAGAATAATGAAAGAGTTTCAGGTTCAAGGTTTATAGTATTAACAAACACAAGCCATAGCAGAATTGTTGTACAACAGGGTTATGCAGCAGAGAACTCAAAAGTTATTTCATTCTACATCCCACAACAAAACACAAAAATGCAACAGGGTAAATGATTTTCATGCGATAGCAAACCTTCACAAAAGATAATTGAATTTCATATAATTTTGTATATTACCTGATCAAACTAGAGTTCATGTTTCTGCAGTCTTCGAATTCTTTTTCCATTTCGTTCTCCTACAGTGTTATCAAAGTTCACGCATAAGAAACCAGCAACAACAGTTTCCAAGAAAATTAAAAATAAATAAATAGCATATTTTCCCCAAACCTTCATTACGTGTTTAGAAAAGGACTCATCTTTTGCTTCAAGAACATCAAGAAGCTGCATGAAAAGTGACAAAAGTTCAGCTTGAATTATTGGCTGAAAGTCCATTTGGTAAAGGCATTCTCAAACCTGGTCACGTAGTCCTGTCACCTCAGCAAGCAATGCCTCTCGTTCCCCATGCTCAAAAAATTTCTGATATCTGTAAAGATAGTAAGATCAGAGTATAGGACGTTTTTTTATTAAAAAAAAAGACTCTTCCAAAACACTTAATAGGTGATTTACCGTTGTAGCTGCTCCTGGAGCTTGATGTTCTCCAAGGCCAAACGTGTCAACTCTGGATTCTTGTCAATGCTATCGCGAAGAAGCTTGATCTCTCCTTTTAGAGTTTTATTTTCTTCAATGAGACAATCTTTTGTCATCAATGGACCAGACGTACAGAATTCCATCTCTCCAACTTTCTCTTCCCTAAGACTAAGCATTATTTTAATGTGCTTGGCATCTTCTTCCATGCCTCTAACCTGTAGTAAAAGGTCAAAATATAAGATGAACTAAAATGTAACCTATTTCGTTTGCATCATGAGATGTCTATGTCTAGGATATATCCTTTCAAAATACGAAATTGAACTGTCCTTGTAACAAACTAACCAAGCAGTCTATACGCTCAATCTCAGCCTCGGACTTCTGAAGGGCAGATTCAGCAATCTTTTCCCTTCTGAGAGCACCAATCAAATTATCTTTCATATTTTTCACCTGTTATATAGTTATTAAGCCAGTTCAATATTATAGTCGCAAGATATCCACAAATATGTTGCAAAAATACCTTCATTCTCAGTGAATTGTGCACCTGACAGTGACACTTGTCTTGTCTTGTTTCTCCTGCTACTTTACATGTACCAGAGTATCTGGATTCTTCATGAGAAGATATGCAGTCTGAAAGAGCCCCACAAGAGTCATGGTTCTTCAAAAGAGAAGACAGTTGGACCTGTTTGGATAAATGAAAAGGTTTTGATATCACCTCACATGACTACGCATGAAATGAGGAAAATTTGCTGTTTGATACAATTTGTCAATAGTCAATACCTTTAACTTTCTTATTTCCTGTTGGAGTGCTGTAACATCCCCAGAGGCATCTTCATTGACTTTAGCCTGGAAAATCAAAGTGAAGCAAACTTACATCAGGTTAAACTTTCATAGAAGAGCTCGTAATCAATGAAGAATTACAACTACATTATTCTGGATTAGTTTTGCCCGTTGCGCGAACTTCAGGGTGCTGAGGGTTTCGTTTGTAGAGCTGCAATAAGACAATAACAATCAGAAATACGCAAGAGAAGGTATGCCCATTAAACAAGAATGGCTATTGGTACAAACCAAAGAGATGGGCTGACATTAGCTATTATCATTGTTTTGGAGTTACCCCCTAGAGAATCCTGAAATCATATCTGAAGTTAGTCCCTATGCAACTGCAACGGAAAAATAAATGAAGGTTTAAGTGCTCTAATAGTCATACCTGCAGTAAAAAGGTAAGTCGAGAATCTCTATAGGGAACATGTCTATGTTTCCCATGTGCCAAATCCACCAGAGACATTATCACTAAGCTGAAGTGACAGATGAATGGATAAGCGTTAGTAGCTACAAAGATTTTGTTCCAAGAATGTAAAAATAGAGCATAGTAAAAGGTATAACAAATTTTTAGCATCTTATCTTGTCATAAGATTATTAATCTGAAACTTCATAATTATTTCTAAGTTGTCAAAGACCTCAAAGCTATTAAACTATCGCCATCCTTTCATGCTTTGCATATTTTAAGTTTCTTCACAAATTTTCTCCATCAAACGTACGCATATTATTTTGACCTGAGAATTGAGCCGCTTGGAAATGTACAACAGAAAACAGTTCATGACAATAAAAAGCAGAGGGCAGACAGACTGACACGTAAACAGGTTTCTGTAAGGATTACCCCAAAGTGGATAAGGATTTGTTAATGTTTGCTGCTTCTTTTAGGCGATCGCCTTCCGCACCTGAACTTTTCTGCCTGTATATGTATCGAAAATAATTTCAGCAGTGAAAGATGCAAAAGTAAACACAGTAAGAAGTACAAGCTACCTTTCAGAACCAGCCAAATCGACCAAGTTTAGTCTGGCAAATCTTGAACGAGTTAGAGAATCTCTCTCCCAGAGGCTCTCGATTGTACATGTGAAAACGCTGTGGGATCTGCTGCTTTCACTGTTCATACGGGTTGCAGCAATCTTCCGGTTAGTGGCTCCCTGAGCATAAGGAAAACATATCAAGTTAAATACTTGAACACTTAAAATCTTAACAGAATGTTTGTGTATGGAGATCTTGCCTGTAGTAGAAGCTTTAGAACGTCATTAACAGTTCTCACATTATGTTCTACAAGATTTTCAACATATACTCCTTTTCCCAAGTCTTCTCTGAGCTAAAATATGGAATTTAAGGTTATGACCTATCTCAAAACAAAAAAGCAACAGACTGATAAATAATAACCAAGTGATGGAGGAAAAAAATTGAATTACTTGCAAATTGGTTGACGATGGTTCCAAGAGGTCGGTTATCTGCTCGTTATATATCTCAAGAAAAGAACATTTGCAACTGAATTTCAATCTTTCATCTCTCCTTCCCTCTTCTTCCTGTTATAAAGACCTTTTCAGTACTGAAATATATTGGCTTGAAGTGATTCGTCGAGAGGAAATTAGGCAACTACCATTTTAATTCTTGAGAACAGATACTCAAAAATACGAGCAGTAACTCCGCAGTCTTCACCGAGGCTTCCCTCTGCCTCAGATATCTCTCCCATCATAGTATAAGTCTTGCCACTACCAGTCTATATGAGAGGAAGGTAAGTTTCTTGATTTTGCACCATGGAAATTCTAACAAGCAGAAACATGAAACATATAATCATTTATGATCTCACCTGACCGTAGGCGAACACACAACTATTGTAACCAGACAAGCAATTCTCCACCATGGGCAGTCCAGCAACGTGAAATAGCTTTTCCTGAAAATCAACAGAACATGCATCCGGAACATTATATGTATAGGTAACCACATCACATACAAAAAGCCTCTGAAAATAGCTTATGTTCACCTTCTACATGAATTTGAAATGAAGCTTACCTGAGATATTGTCTCACTGGCAACATGGTCAAAGGTGAATCTGGTCTCTGGATGGCCTAACCAGACCAATGTTTGTGGACTCTCCTGTTTTAAACACCTACCATGTCCTTGACTAGCCCTTTCCATTGTACTTAATGGCCGCAGCCTTATCAAAACCTATACCATAAAAAAGGAGGCCTAAATTAGTAAGTTTAAAAAAAAAACTGATTAATCAAGAATCTCCTAAACAATGCACCAACCAACCTGCACATTGTGCTCTTTCCAAAACGAATGATCTTCATTGAGCTCAAAATGTGGAGTTGTTTCCGCAAAGCTAACAGACTCAGCCATAGAAATTCCCCTCGGAATCCTTCCTCTTCCACCGAAAGACTGAAGAACTCTTGCGCCGGTAGCACAACCGCCACCAAGAGAAACCCTAGCACCGTTCCTAGTGGGCGTACTCTGCGCAGAGTTTGGCTCTGACCGAGATTTTCCATTACGATTAACAATCTTAGGGTTCGAATGGTGCTGCGCTCTTGTAGCTTCCAATTTCTGAACCAAATCGAAATCGGGTAGATGATTCGCCTTCTGAATTTGACTTGGATCCGGTATCGAATTAAGAGGAGCTCTTGACGGTGAAAACAGTGACAAGCTCGCGAACTCGTTTTCTTCCGATTCCGGCATCTCGATTCTCGGAACGTTTCGGGACATGATGGTAGATCGAGAACTTGTGCTCTCTTTCAGCAGGCGGGAAGAATAAGAAGACGATTCGAATTCAAACGCTTAGTTTGCTCATACTGGAACAATAAGAAACTTGCCCAGAAGCTTGAGAATGAAATTAATGCTTACTCAGAGCTTTTGAAGTTTCGAGAGCTGTTGTAGTTGGCCTTGAAGCTCAGATTTGAATTGGGGGGAGTGGATATTCAAAATTAGCAAGTTTAGTTTTCTTCGATGAACCCTTCTACTTCTTCGATTATACAAATAGACCCTTTAATTATCTCGGTTTTCAAATTTGGTGTTTTATTAAATAAATGTAGACTTACTGTCCCTCTGTCAGTCACTAATTTGGTTTTAGATTAACTTTTCCAAATATATCTTTCGAAATTCTCATTTTATAGTTACATTTCTTCTAGGATGCTACGTATGTCCAATTTTTATTTTGCAATATTAGTATGCTTTAATTAGTGTAGTTTAAATTTTTTCATAAACACAGTGGTTTACAATGAAATTAATGGAATCAAGGGAGATTAACGGCCCCAACTACAAAACAAAAAGTGGTGGTGCAATAATATCATCAACTGTAATAAATGTCTTCCATCTCTTTATCCAAGAGGTGTAATTAAAAAATCAATTGAAAAGTGTAATGTTCAAAATTCGTTGGTCGTTAATCTGACATTTGAGAGCCTAGTTTACTAAAGGAAATTTTGAATTTAATTGATAAAATAATCCTTACAAATATATTCCCCACATGCGATTAATCAGTCGTCTACATGCAAACACTATAGTATTTTACCAACTATATTTTCAAGAAGAGGAATTTAATCCAAAACATAATTCATAGATCAATCAATGGATTTCTTAGAAATTGACATACAAATATATCACAAAACAGTGTAAATAAAAGACATGAACATAATAGCCCAGAGAATCGTTGTATAATTTATCTTTGTAGAATTGCAGCCTCCTTGATTAGTAATACCTCCACCTGGCATAGAACAAAAATACATATAACATCTTATATAAAACCTACTTATAAAAATCAAACAAAATAATTCAACACTGGAAATGCGACAATTACTAATCCAACAAAATTTCTTTACCAACAACAACAAAATTACTAATCCAGCAAGTATTGCTGTCGTAGGACTAAATTGACCTAGATAATATATTCTACATTCTGGTTGGAATTAATAAGAAAGTAAAGGGACTGAAACGGTAATTACCACATTCTCTCGTAGGGTTGTTGTTGGAACCAGAACATTGGCAAAGAAATATCTCCGTCTCGGCGTCAAAACCACAGGTACCACCTGACTTCCGGCAACGGTCACAGCCAATCTCCGGCGCCGAGAACGAAAGCTCAATTCCATACGACCAATCCAAAGGTGCCACGCCTCTCATTTTCCCATTGTCAATCACCGTCGTGTAATGCGAGCAATCCAAAATGTTCATACTCATCACCCGCACCGTATCGTAGCTAGTGAAACAGCAATACGGTGTCGTACGAATCGTACTGTTACCTGGGAAACACAAAAATTTCAAAATTTGGGGAAAAATCGAGAAATTTTGACGAGATTTGAAATTCAAATCGTTTAAATTAGCGATTAATCAAGAACAAAGAGCAAAATTGATTTCATACCAGAGGGAGAGGTAGTGTTGAAGATTCGAAAGGAAGTACAAGAGCTATAAAGCTCGTCGCAAGAGTGACCGGCGGCATTAAAACAGAGATTCCGGTAACGATTATGCACAGGAGAGTCGTTGGAACAGTTGAAAAGTGCGAAAACGGTGTCGTACGAAGGTCTAATAAGAGCGTTTTGAATATCAGCCATTTTGAAATCGTGGTGAGGCTGAAGAATCGAGCAAGTAGACATCGCCGGATCGAAGATTACCATAGTTTTCTTCTCGTAATCGATGCTCTGGACCTTGTAGCTGCCGGAAGGAGTGGTGAAAAATAGATCGGTGGAGCAATTGAACATTCCTTTGAACTGAGGAGATCCGCAACCGCCGTCGATGCCGAATGGGTAGTTTATTGGGATGTTGCCGCATAATGTTCGGCATGATGTTGTTGCTGAGGTTATTAATGGCGGAAATGTTAGGGTTGTGATTGTGTAGAGGAAGGAGAAGAAGAAGAAGAAGAGCTTCTTCATTTTTGTTTTCTTTTTCTCTTCATGTGTAAAATCTCTCTTTCCCTTTCTATATCTAAAAGGGTTTATCATGGAAATTTAAATTTTAAATTAAATTAAACCTCGTTATGGTATATTTGTTAATTATTTATCCTAAAAATAGTTTTATGTATGCATAGATTTGGAATATTATCTTGAAATTGTTTTTCCTTCTACTTCCTTGTTTTGTGATGTATTTTTAGTGATTTTTTCCTTAATTTGTTTGTCAAATAGTCAAAATATATAAATATATATTGAAAAATTACTAGTACTTTGTTTTTTGTTAATTGAAAAATACTAGTACATGTTATTATGCTGCCCCACACATTATTGGATACGCTCTAGTGGATTCTATGATATTATTACATCATACATAGTGGATTCTACATTTCGACTTCATCAATCTGTTTTTTTTTTTTCCATCAACAGAATTCATTAAAACAAAACAAAAAAAATTGAAAAGCAGATACATATATGTCTCCTTCATCAATCTATTTATACACATGTCTTTTTCCTATTGGGTTAAACTTTTACAACAAATATTTTTTATTAAATACTATTAAAATTATTATTTTTAATTGCCAAAAGAGTCTTTTCCCAAAAAAAAAAAAAAAAATTGCCAGAAGAGTCTCTAACAATTGTAGATGCTCTAAATCCCAAATAATATGGGAGAAATATACAAGAGATTGACTAAGACAACTAACAAAATAAAAGAATATGTGTACATATGTAGAAAGTCTTAACCTAATAGTTTTTACTTTTACGACTGCGTCATTGTTTTTATGGTCTAGATTCAATTCATAAACCTTGATGGCAAATGTGATTAGTAAAAAACAAAACAAAATTTGAATTTAAATCAAAGTGGATATCAAATGCAGTTTGAAATACGGAAGTATTAGGTTGCAGTGATCGCACCGTAAAAACAATGACGCATACACACGTAAAAAGTAAAGCATATTCTATTAGGTTACATCTGATTAAAAAAATTCAACCAATTTCATCTACATGATTAAGCTTTTATAAAATATGAAAGAAAAAAAATGAAAAAAGTAAATAAAAATTTGAGCAAAACGTAAGCAAAAATAAAGTATAATTCAATTTGTTTTCATCTATTTGTTTTATAACCAAATAATTAATTAGTCATTTTATCGTAAATAGTTATAAATAAAACTATAAACAAACAAAATATCATTACTATTTGAGTTTATTTCTTATCGTTTTGTACGTACATAAGCGTTAATTAGAAATTGTGACAACATATATAATTAATCACAATGAGAATGGAAAAACAATTATTTGCTAACTGGATTCCATATATGGTTTTGAAAGAAGAGACAACTAAAAAGGATCGTTGAGTAGATAGTAGTGAAATGATTCTTGAACGGTAATTAATTTTATTGTGTGATCCACATCCCCGATTTAACTCAAGAAACACAACTATTACTATGCCTTAAGAGTTAAGGCCCTTAACTAGTGTAGTTAAGCAATGAAAATGGAAAAAACCAAAAGCAAATTACTTGCTAAATGGATTCCACATATGGTTTTGAAGGAAGAGAAAATTAAAAAGGATTGTCGAGTAGATGGTGAAATGATTCTTGCACGGTAACTAAGATGAAACCCCCATTTTCCCTAAGAAATGTGCTTATATAAACCACACACATTACAACACAATAACTCATTTATCTTAAAAACACAACTTACAAAAGAAAGCTCTCCAAATTGATCAGGTACGCTCTCGAGGTTGTAGGTAATGTACAATACTTTGTCCTTACTTTCTTTTTTCCCTTTCTTTTATACTTTCTATTTGGTTTAGGGCCGGGGTTTGCTTAGGGCAACTCATAACTTTGCCTAGCTGGTAGATATCAAAACCAAATGTACCCACAACTTGCAAAATTAGCAAAGCGTATGCGGCCATGAGTATAAAATTTATGACTACAGAGTAGACCAATTCTGATGTCACTCTAGTGATTATTTATCCAAAATTTAGACATTTTTGCATTAAAATTAAATGAAAAAATTCCATCTTCTATATATGTAATTATACTGATGAGTTAATGCATATAAAGTAACCTGAATTATTCCCGCCACTGAGAGCAAGTCCAACGGCACTTTTAATAGCAACTCTTACAAATAAAAAAAGGGAAAAATAATAAAAAGTTATAAAAGAGATGAGAGAGAAGCTCTTCAAAGTCTTATTTAAGAGTCGGTACAAAAACAAATATGACACATGTAACTTTGTTAGTGATTTAATTGTATTAAATAATTAAAATTTAATTGTAAAATTAAAATATTACTGTTGTTTGTTTTTTGAGAAACTCTTACACTCCCAACCAGATGCTCTAATGTCCCTCAATTTCATCAGTAAATAAAAAGGCTTGGAGGAAATAAATGAAAAAGCAACAAGAAAAAAAAAACACAATATTCGTCGGCGATGACGACTCAATTAAGAATGTTCGACTTCTTGACCAGACGCTTACTTCCATTGATGGCGTTGCAGTCCGCGGGGCGACGGATGCTTTGGATCGACTTTCTACGGAGCTCCCTTACTTCTCTTATCGTCTCTCTCCAATCGGTATAATCTTGAAAATTGGCAAAAAGCTAACTGGTAGGCGGTAGCTAATAATTAAGAGATGATGACATATGTATCGTTTTGAGTTTAGTTTCCAGTCTAACTAAATGATGTTCATTACTATACTCCATCTGGATTTTTATTAGACTGAGATTCGATAGAGTTTAGTTAAGATCCCATAATAATTTGTAAAATATTGAAAATGAAATATATTTTTACTTACGTAGAATAACTCTCAAATGTACATATTCTATAGTAAAATTATATTAAATATATTTATTCATTTGTTTAGTAACTAGTATAGATATTTTGAATTAGACATTAATGATGCATAATTTAATCAGAAATTACAAAGACACTGATTTTTGAACTGGTAGTTCAAATGCGAAGAGACACCAAACAAAGAAAAACCAACATCCAAATAATATTTCGACAAATAAGAAAACAAAATCCAGATAATTTAATGCTAACGTGGATGAAATAAACATACAATATTCCAAGATATGAACTGCAGGTATGCAATCGTCCGGCTGCCACCAATAGCGTGTTATAAATAATTCAAATAAGCCACACAACAAGTAAGAGAAGAAACCGTAAAGAACGTTCATAAGCTCGTCGTGATCAAAACCATATGTACGCAATACTTGCAAAAATAGCAAAGCGAATGCGGTCACGAATACAGAATGTATGACTATTGGGTAGACTAATCCTGACGTCACCCTGTCATTAGTTTTAACCAAAAGTTTAGACATTCTTTCATTAAAACGAAAAATTTGTTTCTTCTGTTGATAGTTATTACGTGAAAAAAGAAACACTCACATGCGCAAAAATCCACATGTACGTATCCACATGCTTTCTTTTTCAATCAAGGTATCATTCAAGGTGTTCTCCTTCTCCATCTACAAAAGCAAGATCCATAGTATTAATTATACTTAAACTAAAGGGTCTAAATTAAATTACTACATATATATAAAACATATTTTTTTGTTGATTCTTAAATGCAGCAAAAGATTTAGGCGGTCAAGAATGTTTCCTATCAGATGTTTAATTCCATATCATTAATAATAAAAACGTGAAAAGGCCAGATAAGCACGATATAGCTTGAATTATCACAATGATCAGACTGATCACAATGAATTCTAACCATTAAGCGGGTATAGAGATTTTATCTTGTGATGACAATATGTATGTATCCATTGATTTTCACAAAACATAATTAAATAACTTCTAAAATCCTCGACTCGACTTTAAATAATATATAGCTTGAGCAAAAAAACATAAGTTCAGAAGTGCCGGCAAGAACTTGACGACAACAACAATACCTTGTTAAGCCCTTGTCAACTCTTCACTTTGATCTCTCCAAATTATGTAAAAAGATGATACGCATTACACATATATACACATATACAATGTCTACTTTAGTTAAATACCTTTATTATCATTAAATAAAGAATTAAATTTAAGAAATAGGTAAAGATATTTATTGATTGCAAATACATTGAAATTAAACTTTTAAATGGATTTTGATGATAACAAATTAAATTTTGATGGATCTTACAAAATATTCTTAACTACAGTTGTATGCTTTAAATTATAAAGTCACTTTTTTTTAATCATATTATTAATTAAGTAAACTCTTACACGTGTTCATTAGTACAATACTAAAGTGTTTATAAACACAATTTTTGAATTTAATTTCAAGATCTCAAATTTTTAAAATAAAGGGAGACTCACAAAAATGCCCCTTTTTCAATACCCCTTTTCAAAAATACCCCTTTTTTAAAACCTTATAAAAAATGCTCTTAAAAATATAAGATTTACCCAAATATGTATGTAATATTATTAAAACATACACAAACTACATTTCTATGTATCTAAAATCTTATAAATACTTTATAAATACCTTATAAATGCATTTTAAATACCTTTAAAAACCTTTAAAATATCTTGTAAAACCTTTGAAAAACCTTAAAAATCCTTTAAAATAACTTGTAAAACCTTTAAAAACACCTTATAAAACCTTATAAATACTTGGATCGAGTCTTCAAGTAGTAGTTACAATCCATAAGTACCTTATAAACCTAATAAAACTTTATAAAAATTTCAGATTTAAAAAGGGGTATTTTTGAAAATGGATATCTAAAATGGGCATTTTTGAAAAGGGGCACACCAAAAGGGGTATTTTTAACAATTTCTCTAAAATAAATGTATTGGTTGCCAATACATTGAAATTCATTACATTTAAAAAATTACACTTGGATGGATCTAAAAATAAAATT